ATGGAATAAGAAGTACTGGATTCAGATGATTTTAAATTTCTTTTCGATCATTGTATTATTAACTTTACCATACAGATCATTCTTGACGTTTGTTCCAGTCTTTAAGTTTCAAATTTCAAATACAAAAATGACACATTATATATGTAATATATAAAAAATTTAATAGTATGAAATACACTTAAATATATTATTGAATTAATCAAAAATCTCGTTTTGCATAAATTTGCCACAATCGAAATAATGATATGGCATAATCGAAGTAATGCCATAATCACCATAATCGAAATAATGATAAAGGAGACAGACGCCTGCCATAATCGAAATAATGATAAAGGAGACAGACACCTATGCAAATGGTATGGAAACGATCTACGAAATTTTTTAAAATCTGTGGTAATTGGCTTTTAATTTTAGACTATCAATAGAATTGACATCATTACATCTCTCAAAATTACAGTCTGTGCTTTCAAAAATGTCGAGTAAGTAAGTTTTCAATGGCTAGTTCCTTTTCTTTTTTCGTATTTGTACCCAAGTACCACCCCAAAGTAGTAATGAATGCTTGAATATCACTGATTAAGATAGTTTATTTAAAACGATCATTCAATACATTGTTTTTGTGCCAAGACGACAGCACAAAATCGTCATATTTTAGTATCATGAAGAAGTTTTGAAATAATCTTGCATTTTTTTATGACTAGTTATACATTATTAAGCCTAGTTACACTTTTTTTTATATGTCTAGCTATACATCATTAAGGGTACATACTACAATACTTGGATGTTTGCTGTTTGTTTGTTTGTTCTGTCAAAGAATACCATCAGGATTAATCTTCCGGCAATCTAATTCGCAAACTTCAATAATTCACCAGATTTATCCAAACGGTTTATGTGCCAAAACGTTTTGACAATATCATAACCTCTTTTTGACCGTGTATAGGTTATGCAAAAGAATCTCATAATGGCAGTTATCAGATTTTTGTATCAGATATCAGATTATCAGATTATGAGATTTTTGAAAATTTTTAGAACTGATAAAACATCCAATGGTTCAAAATGCTTGATTTTCGCCCGCCAACAAACGACAATATATGTCTTATTGGCTTTGCTCATGTTTCAGGGACATACATTGTACAGTGCTACGGGTATTGTCACTTCTACCTCTAAATGTCCAAAACTAGATTTCGTAAGCTAGCATTATTTTATAAGGCTTTTACGGAAACGAATATTCTGCAAGTGCTATTTGTACTCCAAATTTATTTTAGTACTTCAAATCCCATGTCAAGCAATTATAATCACGACTGAATCTCGATACAATCAAATTAAAGAAACTATAAAAATGAAGAAAACAAATTGATAGTCAGAAGAACCCTGATCAATTACAATGGAAATAAGAAAATGCAAAAATGGAAGCCAGTCTAAATAAATACTCAGGAAAACTAAAACATACGGAACTGCCACATTACTTGCTATGGGGAAACGAGAACAAATGCATCCGATTGATTTATTCACTAAGCTATAGCCTTATCGAGATGTTGCTGAACACTTTTGAAAATTTCATCTTCTGCTCCCTCAGACGGAATCTGCAAAATGAGAGTTGACGCTATTATTCGTTGTTAGGTAATGGTAACTCGGATCCTATTTGATTTCCTTATTTAACAATCAAAAAAAGCATGCGAACTTTTAATGGTTGGGCTCAATGTGCTTGGTAAAATGGTTTACAGATGATGAAAATTAATTCAATCTAGTGATTCACAAAACGCTATATCTCGAAATAGTTTTCCAAAAAGAACAAGAGTTTTCAAAAAATAGATTTTTCAAGCGAAGTCCTTTGCGCTTTGAAGTTCGAATTAACACTTTTTTTCAACTACCAAATTCCATTTCAAATCGACTAATCAAAGTGATTAAGAGGGAAAAAAAATTGCGCTTTGAAAGACTTACTTTTACCAGCTTTCCTTGCTTTTCATAGTAATCAACAACTGGAGCGGTTGCAGTTATATAGGTATGAAGTCGCTTTTTAATCGTATCAATATTATCATCTACCCGTCCACTGCAGCAATGCAAAAATTGGAAATTTATTCAGCAAATTGCAAGATGATCCTGGCTAAGTGTCACGCCTTTCTTCACTAATTCGGAAATCTTCACTTTAACGAAGAAAAAAAAAACTAAATAAAGAAAAAAAACCTTGTTTCTGCTCTATGCAAGCAACGCTTAACCAAAGTTTCTTCACTCACATCGAAAAATAATACCAACTTAGCTGGTTGAATCTGAAATTGATATTTTAACTTAAAGCTTTTAAATGCCTCACAAAAGTTTGAGAAAACCGAAAATTAAAAATAATCATGTCATTGTTCCCTGCTACTTTCAAATCTACGATCTCAAACAATTGTTCAAACAATTTAAACAATTATATGAAAGCACGTTTTAATTAAAGTGAAGTACATTCCATGCAAACTGATAAAACGGCCAATATCATCAGCCATAAATTACATTCACAGAACTTCTGAATATAAAATCTATCATATGCAACAGTTGTATATTTTCTTCCAAATGAGATATATTTTATCATTGATTTTCCAAAACTGAAAAAAAAACAAACTGGCATGATTGCGAGAAAAGAAAGTCACTAACTTCATTTTCAAATTGCTCTCCTTGTTTTACTTCCCGTGGATAACCATCAATCAAGAAACCTTTGGAACCCTTTGACACCGCTTGAAGCATAGCCTCTTTAACCAAATCTAGCACTACCTCCTGAAAAAAAGCTAAATTAATACTACTACACTAATAGGTAATGCCTAGGAGAGACTTTCTGCCTTCAGCTCATTTTCAAAAAACAGTAGGTATATATATATATATAGAGAGAGAGAGAGAGAGAAACAGTCAACCTATAAATTTAAAAATTGAACTTCGATATTCCTCAGTTTCTATGAAGTTAGGAATAAACGTAAAGTGATGATGATAAATTTGAAAACAATCTTTAAAAAAATAAATTAAAAAATACTGACCAATGGAACAAGTTCGCCATTTTGCATCAATTTATTGAGCTCTGATCCACGTGGCGATCCAGATTTCACTTCAGCACGTAGCAGATCACCTGAACTGAGATGTGTCAAGCCATATTTTTTTACGATCTTATCGCATTGCGTTCCTTTGCCAGATCCAGGACCACCTTAAAAACAAAAATAAAGAAAAAAAGGAAGAAAAAACAAAAATAGGTAGTTAATTACTCTTCAATAAAAATATTTCAGGACAATGAATAACTAAGCTACTCTAATCAATATCAATCCTCAATTTATTGCATACATTTCAGAAATTCAATGATAAGAATAATTATTGGTCAATTTACAAATAGATTAGAGAGAAAATAATAAGTTAATACCTAACATAAGATGTTTTACCGTATCAAAGTAAGTTATACATATTTAGCGATACATTTGAGCGTTTAATATATTATCTAAGTGATTTATCTTTTTTTAACTCGTTTATGAAACCGACC